CAGTTGTGTCTCGTGCCATCGCTCGTTACCGTGCTACTGGTAGCATGGCCCGTCGTCAAGGAAGTGGACAAAAGAATACAGCAACATCAGGAGAAATGGTTCGACAACTAAAGAAGCGACTTGATCGAAACCCGCGGCGCAGTGGCCGAAAAATGGCTCGTGATCTGAACATATTGCAATATTCCATTCGGCAAATTTTGAAAAATAAGCTCGGGGCAAAGCTATTGAAATTCCAAAAAGTGCAAGAACTTACACCGCAACTGAGAGAAAATAGACTCAAATGAGCTAAAGAGCTGCTCGCTTGGCCGAAAGTGGTGAACTGCCGAATTTGGTTTTCTCCGATGAGAAAACATTCTTGTCCAGTAGTTTGTAAACAAACAAAATTATAGTGTTTACTTGCCAAAGAGGTCAGCTGAAAATGTGCACCTTCGTTTGGCCACCAGAACTCAAGGTGATGGAGTGGGCCGTCATAACAGCTGAAGGTCACTCTCCGCAAGTATTAATCGAAATCTAACGACGATATATACGGGAACTACATGCAAATATTGTCTGATTATCTCAAATTTCAACAGGGTTCGTCCTTGATCAAAGCTAGTAATGTGTGGAAAATTTCATCTCGATCGGACAAATAATGCGATCTGTACTTTTATTACAAAAGTACATGGACTGACATGCATAAATCGACCCAGGATGTGATTCAAGGAACATCATCAAAAGAAACTATGGATTTGTTTCATTTTCTTCTGCATTGTACAAATAAATACAGAACGACCCTGTACCTGTGTGGCATAGGGTATAAAATCGGGGTTAGGAAGCTTTTGTGTAAGTAATTTCTAGTGCCAACATGTGCCTGTGAACCCATTTGCTAGGAAGTAATTATTTTATCTACTTTTAGTGGTTCAAAACAATTACTTATTTCTTGCGAAATGCCCTCGTCATAATAATGGGTTTGTAGCCCGATTTGTAGTTAGTATTTTTGCTGGGTGATTATAAATAATTGGTCGGTGAATTTTAGGTTTATGATGCAGTTTTTATTTCATACCATAAGAACTTGTCAATATTGTTATTGTTCATGTCTCATCTTTGTTTTTGTTTATGCCTTTAATAAAAATTGTAAAAGATTTGAACACAAACAGAAAGTGTAGCCACAAAGCGAATGTTCGAACGCATGGCAAGTAGTTTAAATCGTGATGCATTTAGGGAGGATACAACAGCGTTCTGAAACTAAAAATGAATAACTAGTTTTTAATTTTTAATAGTTAATTTTCGACTTGCGAATTAATATTCGGAATCACATCAATGTAAATCCAAAAATGTCGGTGAAAAAGTTGCCTAAAAAAGGGAATGAAGACACTATTTAAAACGTTTGGCAACTCGCATCGACAATAATAGTTTGTATTGTTTATGGTAAAGTTTATACAATGTCATTAGAGGTGTAAGAAATTGAAATAAAATAATAAGAAAGATATTGGGAGAAAGAAGTGTGTTCCATAAAAGTACGATTTATGTTTATATTGTGGCTTTGTGTAATTCAAATTATTACCGATATAAACATAATTTGGTGGAAATTATTGCTCATATATTAGACATTATAAATATTATAATTAAATATATATAATTTATTTATAATTTAATTTGCACAAAATAAATCGTTATCGGAATCATATTTCGTGCACTAAATATGCATCGTAAATCTGAAATCAGATTCACAGACACATATAGGGTAAGTGTGCCTAAGTTCGGCATGTCCCAGTAGTCGGCACTTTTTATTTTTAAGCCCAAATAAATGAAACTATTATAACTAAATGTGTTTTGTTTACTTCAAATATATTGTCAGCTATCTTTGTGTACAATTTCGCTAAGGAAAGATGATTTATTCTAATAAAAGTTAAATTTTTGTCTGTGAAGGTCCTCAACAATCCATATTCTTCAGAAAAGTACAATAAAGACGTCGAATCAGTTTAACTAAACAAAAATATTATATTTTAATGAATTCATTTATTATTATTATTAATTATTCTTACAAAAAAATTGGTATGCCAACTGTTGGAACATGCCATACCGACAATTAGCAAGTGGTGCCGACTACTGGCAAAAAAGCATTGTATTAATAAAACTACAAATTTATGAAAATTAATAAAAAGTTATTAAAACTTTATTATTGCAAAAACTATACAAAATTTGGAATCCGAATAAATTAACTTTGTAATAATTGAAAAGTTCCACTCTGAATGGTGAGCGATTAAAAACGCGAAAATCCTTAAAGTGCCGACTACTGGTACACTTACCCTATGGGAGGTATACAATAATCTGAGCTGATTGTAACAAGTTAAATGAACGTTACACGTCTTCCACATTTTGGTGTAACATTTCAACCCTCAAAGGAGCCACAAATCCAATCGATCGAATTGGGAAAAAGTGATATTTTTTGTCAGAAATAAATAACCTTTTTTAATTGAAAAATATATGCTATTTTTGATAGTAAATACTAAGTATAAATATTTTTTTTGGTCAGAGAATGACTACGAAATTTCATCTAGAATAATTCTTACTTTGACATTTTCTCCAAAAAATCTATCTTCTATATCTTTAAAAAAGAGGAAAATGTTTGCATGTTTGATTGATTGTTTGTAGTTTATGAACTCGAAAACCGCTGAACAGATTTCCCTGAAAAATTCCATATATACTGCAGCATCGCCTGAAAGTAGCATAGGCTATAAAATTGTTTTAATTTCCACTTGGAATTGGCGATATAGCATCCGAATCGGAGGTACCTCTAGAAAATTTTGTTTTTGAATGCACATATATATTGAACGATTATAGATACAGTCTCCAATTTTAGAATGTGTAACGGAAATCGGAATAAAAATAAATTTGACAAAGGATATTCAAATCGGTTTAGATTTGGGAGCTATACCCAATACCCATATATATTTTCGACCGATTTCATATATTTGATGCACCAAATACGATGTGTATGTCCGATTCCAATGAAATTCAGGGTGAGTGACGAAATTTACTAAAATAAATAATTACGTACGATAATACATTTACCAAATTATATTGAAATGGCTCGGATTTCAACATAACTCCCATATATATTTTCGATCGATTTCGTTTATTTGATGCACCAAATACGATATGTATGTTCGATTCCAATAAAATTAGGAATGAGTGGCGGAATTTGATTAGAAAATAATTTTGCCAAATTATATTGAAATCGGTTCAGATTTGGATATCTCAAATATTTGATGCAACAAACACTATATATTTGTCCGATTCCAATTAAATTTGGAATGACTGGCGAAATTTGGTACAAAACTAAATTTGCGAAAATTATATTGAAATCGGTTCAGATTTAGTTATAGCTCTCATATATATTTTCGACCGATTTCATTTATTTGATGCACCAAACACGATTTGTATGTTCGATTCTATTAAAATTTGGAGAAAAAATCCGAAATAATTTGGAAAGCACTTGAGGCTTGGATATAGTTTCCATATATTTGCACCAAAGACGCTATGTATCTCCAATTTTAAGGAAATTAGGAATGTATGGAAGAATTTGGTCTAAACATAATTTTTTCAAATTATGTAGAAATCGGTCCTGATTTTCTCATGGTCAGTTGAATCTGGAATGTTCACGCGTCGGCAGACCGACCGATATGATTGTATACACTCCTGAAGGAAAACACATATTAAACAAAAAACAGGTAAAAAAGAAACAAAGTTCGGCCCACCCGAATTTTAAATACCTTCCACAATTTTGAAGGACATTGGAAATTTTCAAAAAAAAAAAAAAAGAAAAAATTCGTAGAAAAATTAAAACCCTTATATGGGGGCAATACGAAGACGTGGTCATTCATAAGTAATTTTTTGTCATGGGCTTTTGTACTGATTCCGAACTTTAAATACAAATTTTGAAACAATTGCGGTGAATAAGACGTGAACCCGCATGGGCAACTTGTAGTCATAGGCTGTAGTACTCATTTCGAATTTCAAATACGACATTTGAAACAATTCCGGTGAAAAATGTCGCTAAAATCATCAAAATACCGAATATAGGCAGGTACCGATATATTGGCGAAGTACGAAAACGTTGACCGACATGTCCCATTTACGAACTTAACTTTCTGCTGTCAAAATACACATGTGTCCAAAGTTTTTTGCCTTCTATCTCACTCCATTCCACAGATAGTGTGATACAACAGACAAACAAAGAGACACACAGACAGGCAAAGAGATTCACAGAAAGAAAGACGGACACTGCTAAGTCGACTTAGAATTTTACGCTGATCAAGAATATATATACTTTATGGGGTGTGCGACAAATATTTAGGCATGTCACAAACGAAATGGCAGAGTTAAAAGCCCTCCTTTAATTAAATTGTTCGACCTAATTTTATGCAATATACAAAAAACGTATTGCATTTTTTCCATTTCGTTTACCTTTCGTTACATTCTAATACACCTATAATTGCGGCATAAACACATCATTTTAATACACTTTATCCAAACAAACATTCCCCGGTAGAACTGAAAAATTAGTCTACTTTAATGTTCAACCTCCCCCACACCCAGTATTCTCAGTTGGTGCTTGATTTTTGGATAATAAGTGTTTGTGTGTGTGAGCATTGTTTGTTTGTCAGCATGTATGCAAGTGTACGGCAGAATGGTGTGCCAATGATATTCAACACTTCACCATTGACTGGTGATGTTGTTCGCAACTGAAAAAAAACGACACAAACAAACACAAGTTGCGGAAGAAAAATCGTGTCAGTGAAAACACAGAAATTTCCCTCCCAAATACACGCACGCACACATACACCGCCACTCAGATGTCAGTTTTCCATGCTATAGTTCTGCCACGAACTACGCCACGAGGAAATGAGAAAGCGTGGTGAATTTTCTGCCAAACTCACACACACCGTTGCACAAAAAAGCATCTTTCCGAGTGGCAGATGAACCTGCATAAGATGCCTCTCGTAGCTTTTCACCTCAGTAACACTTGTTCCTTGAGACAAAGGTGGTCGTGAAATATAGTCGAGCGGGTAAAACGAGCGTTGCGAACGACATGAGGAAATTGCTTTAAAAGCGAACGAACGCGTGTACATAGTGTGCCTTCAGCCAGCATAAACAAACAAAGCCAAAGACCAGATAAGCAGGAGGGAACAGAGAGACGAAGGGTCATACTGACTGAGTAGCGGACAGACAGACAGACAGACATCGGTATCGGCCACAGTATATGGTGTAGTGTTTATTTTCAGATTTTTCAGAAAATCTGATTCAAACAGCATCACAAGAATTTTGAAAAAATTTTCTCTGGGTACGGTACACATGGCATAATGTTTTGATGTATTTTGGGGGAACACGTTCCGTTCCGTTTCGATGGGGTTTTAGTTTGTTTATTAGATTTTGTTGTTGTGTCTATGAATTTTTCTAAAACAAAAATTTAAAAATTTAAAAATGATTTTGTCGAATGCTGTCATGTAAATTCACTCATCTGTGTATTATGATTTTGATTTTGCCCACAATTATTGTTTGCCGAATCACATTTCGCACATCCTGCCACTTAAGTTTATGTAACAGAGCAAGGATTTGAATGCACGTCACACTGACAGACTGACAGACATACGAAATTGACTATTGTTTGGCTTAAACGTTTTGATGTTTGTTTTCATAGCTTTCGTTTTTTCTTTCTTGGTGGTCTGTGTTTCTCTCTCTCTGTGTGTGTGTGTTATTTTCAGTAGGATTCCGTGACTGGAAAGGTTGAAGGAAACTGCCGTAAAGATGAAAATGTCATTCTCAATTCCTGTCTGGAAATATGCTCTGCTAACCTTGAGCATTGTAATTTCGGTAAGTAAAACGAGAACACCACCAAACATATCAAGTTTACTAGGCCTCTGAGAGTGTTCCACAAAAACAAAGTGGGGCAGCAACAAAACCAGCAATGCCATCAGCAAAACATTCGCATTGTCATTCGGTGTCAAAGTAAAGAAGAAGGCCAAACTAGTCAAACAAAAACACAGTTGTAATGTGACCCTGAATTTCAAAACATGCACGAGGATGGATGTACGACACCAATACATATGTACATACACACCTATATATATACTCACCATACACCTAGCACATGTCCTTATGTACTTGACTCTCGTTCCATGTCCATGTACGTTACCTGCAAAAAGCAAAAAAAAAAAAAACAAGGAAAACACACGAACGCCCAAACTAAAAATAAACTCAGAAGCAGGTCAAATTGGAATTTTCATTTCACCTTCCGGAGGTTGCTTTTAAGTTATTCATATAATGTGTCAGATTTTATTATGTGAAGTGTGTGTGTGTGTGAGAGTGTGTTTGTGTCTCGGTGCAACATATCCGTCAACAAAGTTGAGAACAAAACGACGCGTTCCAGAATGTGTAAACAAGATAGTAGCCAGCCATTCTCTGCTACTTGACATGGCAAATGAGTTGGTTAAAAATTAATTGAGTTTTTTGTTGAATGTTGTTTAAGTTTTTGAATGAATGATTTAAAGATTAGTAATTTCATGAGAAAGTGGTTAACTTATTGATAAATTTCGTTAATAACCGAAATTATGGACCATTGAGATTCGTAACTCATCGACATAATCATTTAAGCCCCGACTCTAACCTTTGTAGGTATCGATCGAGATGGCTAAATGTTTGTTGTATTTTGGGATTGAAGATCGGGTATATCGGTTCACGTTTAAGCCCCATATGACAGTACGTAAAGATCTTCGATATTATTATGATTTTCAACATATTTTCTAACGAAATTGTTTTATGGTTGGTGGTTAAAGATCTCAATGGAAGATCCTATGCCGGAACATGGGTACCACCTCCAATGACAAAAAATTGTCTAAATAGAACTACCAGTGTTTGGCTTGCTTGTTTGGGATACCATAGTATTTTGTTGTTGCAAAATCGTCAGGCAAAATCCCATTATTGTTGTGGTATCCCAAACAAGCAAGCCAAACACTGTTCTATTAACAGACACAGGCACGGTCGACGAAGGGGTTTTTGTTGTAACAGACAAAACAAACTTACATGGTTATGTTACTTCGTTCAGGTTGAACGAAAGCATAACAAGTGGAGAAAGATGTAAATGTTTATAAGTGCGGTTGTAAGATTTAGAAGATTTTCCAAAAGAATTTTAGTTTTATGTAATTCTTTTGTTCCTCTTCTATTGAGCTTACGATCTCGTCACTTGGGTAAAAAATGTTTTTTGTCATAGAAGTTATTTTTTTTTAAATAATATTTTAAAAAAATAACTTCTGGGGAGAATATCCCAGACAAGAAACAAGGGAACTGATGAGGATTGGTGGCTCTTTCCGAAACCTAGGTATTCCCTGCCTTACCCCCTGGTATACATTACCATCGTTCTCCACTCATAAACAAACGTTGTTTTTATAAAAACAACAATAATGGGATTTTGCCTGACGATTTTGCAACAACAAAATACTATGGTATCCCAAACAAGCAAGCCAAACACTGTTCTATTAATATCAAATTTTATGCGATATCATAAACTCCATTCATTCCAGGTTTCTGGGTAAGAGAAATATTTTGATATAGGAAGTTGTAAAGAAGCGCTGACCTCTCCATGTTAGGGTTTAAATGTTTGTTTGTGTGCCTTTGTGGGTGAGGTACCAGAAGAGTGGACCGATGTATCCCTTCTAGATCTTGTGTTAGTAGAAAAAGTGGGGTGTGTGAAATATGAAATCTGAATCGAATCAGATGTTAATCCTTTGATCCTTTGTGTGGGAGGTACTTGATGGAGTGCACCGATATTGTTTATTTTCGCTCTTGACTTAGCATTGATGCAAATATTGCGATTTACTAAATTGGATTATCCTATATCTTCCTGCGCAGTAAAATATGTTTTTGAAAATTTCGACTTTTTGTGGGGGAGGTACCGGGAGGAGTAGACCGATATTGCCCATCTCCGAAATCGATCTAAGTTTGACAATAATACTACGATGCACCAAGTTTGAATCAAATCAGACAAACTGACGTACGGACATCGCTAAATCGACAAAAATGTAACTAAGTCCCCAACTGATACCGATCCACTCTCCATGGGTCTCCATAAATGATAAAAATTTAAATATGATCAATGTAAACAAAAATTTAAATTTCATATATATAATCATAATTAGGCTTAATCTCATTATTGTTGTTTTTATAAGAGCAACGCTTGTTTATTAGTGAAAAGGGTGATAATGTTTCCCTGCCTTACCCTCTGGTAAACATTTACAAAGACATTTTTGGGTCTTTGACGTTTATTAGTTATTAAAAAAACAATGAGTTGATATGTTGAGTTATGCCTTTAGAGATATGCAAATGGAACTTTGTCATATATGTACCTGTTATTCATCCTGAGTTGCGTTTTCCAAAAAGTTTTGTAATGAATTTAATTTTAATTTAATGAATTTTATTATCTTTGTCCAATTACGTCCACTGTAAAGTTATTTAGATTTAAAACAGAGAAAATTATTATTGCAGTAGTTTTGTGGTATAATTATATGTTTATATTGCCACATAAATTACTACAATATAAATTCCATCAATAATTTCCTCGAAATATTTGGGTATATATGTATTCAACTACAAATAGGGTAAACATGATACAAAAACGCATGTACACATACCAATTGCAGGGAAGTTTAAATTTCAATTTAATTGTACATCTAGATTCTTGGCAGTATTTCACTTTAGTTTATTTTAAACAAAACAAGTAAGCAAAGGCTACAGTCGAGCGGGGCCGACCGTTAAATACCCTACAACACTATAATAAACGATACAGTTTATATAGGCGAGATACTCGAAAGAATTCCACAAGATATTGTGACAAATAATAAAAGAAAACCATCAGGTTCCGTTCTCTAATTTTCGAATAAGAAGCAACTTAAACTAATTTGCTCATTTCCAATTTATTGGTAGATGTTGCACTTAAATGGTCTTCCTAGATCTGGAACCAATATTTCCCAAAGACCTATAATCTCTCAGAAGTGGCAAAAGATTAACATTTATTATTGGTTTTTGACTGAAACGCATCTATATGAGATACAGACATTTGACTATATCCTTCAACGAAATCAGCGTTAACGAAATAGTCAGAAGTGCGTCTTTCCTGTATTTGTGAATTCTCCAAAAAGTCACTGGAATGGACATTTCGTACATTGAATATTTTTGGATGGCCATCCAAAACTGCTTGGCTCTTGCAATGTCCGGTAACCCCCATTCAAATGTGCGTGAGGGTCGGGCGATAATTACGACCTGCTGACAATTTTGCAGTTTTTTGGTCCATTTCAACCCCTAAATATATGGCGATCATCTCCAAAAAGAGTAGGCTTCTATTCTGACCCTCATCTGATCCCCATGCAAAATTTCGTTAGGATCGGGCCATAAATGCGATCTGTATGTGATATCCTGATATCCTAACTACTTAGTTTTGTTAGCTGTAGAAATATTACCAAATGTTTAATTCAAAATGAAAATATGCCAAAAAAATGACAAAATTGAAAAAATATGAGAAAATTTTACAAAATCAATATTTTCATCTTTAGAGAGATATTTTTATGCGATTTTTTTAGACGTTTTTACTTTCCTGTCAAGAGGCCATTCTGAATTAATGAGAACTGTGGAAATCAGTTCAGCCGTTCTCGACATATAAGAGATTTTTCAAGCATATCTTCTTTGATAAACGTATATATCGCACATATTTTGCTATATATCCGTTTTGTTGGATGTTAATATCAATGTAAAGATCAGAAGTAACCTTGTCATGGCTTTGTGATTTCGCCGGGATTTAAAATATTCGCGGTTTAATGAAAATTTTTGAATTTTTTCAACACAAAATATATGTTCTATTTTACCCGCTACGAGTATAAAATTAGCCATTAGTTGATATAACACGGATTTCGGTTGTATGGAGGAATTCAAAACCGCCCTCCAATTTTTATAATTATGAAAATTGATACTTCACCATTTTGAACTTTTTACTACATTTTAGTGCAAACTTTTAGAAGCTCAATTTCTATTTGAAAATAATTTAATTAAAGCAAGACATGTATAATTATTGATAAAATAAGTTAAACAGATGTAAGCCCTCAGCCAATGTTCAATTATTTATATATATTTTGACTTATGTTGTCACTGTTCAAATTGCTGACCCTCTATGGTGTATGTTCCGAAGGAATGGGCCAATATTGCCCATTTAATATTGGACCAAAATTAATATATTGCGACGTGCAAGATTTGGGCTACATTGGTTACTTCCTACACTTTATATGGAATATGTGAAAATTCTTAGAAAATGTTAAAATGTATGTCAGGTACCAGATACAGTCGACCGAAGTATTCCATGTTCATACTTCATCCAATATAAATAAACATATTGATATGGGCATATTTACAAGAAAATCGAACATTTATATCCAATTTTATACGAAATCATAAATTTCGATAAATTCCATATTCCATCCAACTCAGGTTTCTGGTTGAGAGAAATATTTAGATATAGCAAGTTGAAAAAAAATCGCTTATTTGTTTCGCAAGTTATGATAGATAGTATTGAAAATTGTGACCCTTTGTGGGTGAGGTGCCAGAAAGGGGTTCGCAGATATTATCATCAGATTTTGAGTTAGTAAAAATGTTTGTATGTGCGAAATTTGAAGAGGGTTGGCTCCTTATTTCAATTTCTTTGAGCATTTTGTTTTTCAAAATCTTGAGCCCTATGTGGCGGAAGGTTCCAAAGATATGGCCCCATCTCTACCATCATTATAACACATCTTGTGTTGATGGAAATATTTAGATGTACAAAGTCTGAATGGAATCGGATGTTAATTCCTCGTTTTATGAGATTCATTGTTACTCAAATTTGAACCTTTATGAAGGAGGTACCAGAAGGAGTGGAACGATATATTTCGTCTTCACACCAGAAAATAGGTCATTAATAATATTGTGATATGCGTAATTTGAAGACAATCTAACTCATACATCGCATTATATAGTCAAAGTTTTGACACTTTGTTCTGGGAAGTACTTGAGGGAGTGGACCGATATTGTCCATTTCCGCACCTGACCTAGCGCTGACGCAAGTTATAAGATTTGCCAAGTGGGAGCCAAATCGGAATATTCTTTCCCTTTTTTTTTTGAAATATCGACCTTTTGCGGGGGTAAGTAGAAATTCGCAAAACGTCTTAACATCGTCAGACAAAACTATACAAAATTATTTGAATACTCTCCACCATACATAAGTTCGTCATTCCGTTTGTAACTTATCGAAATAATAATTTTAGACCCAACAAAGATCACCATAAAATTCTAAGACGATTTAGCCCTCTCCGTCCGTCCATTTGTTGTTATCACGCTAGAGTCAAAACGAATACAGATAGGAAGCTAAGATTTTGCACCGATCTGCTTTTGTCTGCAGGCAGGTAAAGTTCCACGATATCGTACAGCCCCCATATAACGGTACCCCCGCTATTCGGAATATTGACGATTTTAGCCACATTTTCCAATGGAATAGTCTTAAAATCCACACAAGGATATCCCTCTGAGTACTTTACCCCCTGGAAGAGAATTATCTATGTTGGTCTACATTTTAATATAGCACCCAAATAATGCTACCCCGGGATATTCGGTATTTCCAGAATTTTCGCGACATTATTCACCGGAATTGCGTCAAATTTCTTATTTGAAAAAAAATCACTTTTCCAGCACCACGTCTTCGTATAGCCTCCAAGCTCCTTCCAAATGTTAGAGGGTATAAAAATTTAACTGCTTTTTTAGTTGTTAGTTCTAATTTCCTAAAAAAATTAAACTTATCTCAGGTGACGTACTAGTAATGCTATTTCTAAGTAGTAAAAAATCAGTTAAATTGACTTTTTATTTCTTGAAACAGTTAGAAAATAAATTATGTAAAAGTTGTATCTCAATACCGAAATTCCAGTATTCGAGGGGTGTGCGTTATTTCCGTCATTAAGAACATGCAATCCAAATTTCAAACAATGTTTTAAAAAGTGGTTAAAATCGTCGAAATCGACCGACTATAGAAAAACATGGACCCATGTAGGTAATGTTCTGCCACAGCAGGTAGAACTCATTATGAACTCCAAATACGAATACGAATTTTAACCAATTCCATTAGAAACTATGACTAAAATAATCAATATACCGAATATAGGGAGGTACAATTGTACAAGCAATAGTTGTTTATGTATTGGGTCAATATTTCGAGATGTTATATAATTTTTGGCCTCACCTATCGTATTTAACATTGACTGCCCAACATTTCTCGAATTTTAAAGCAAATTTGCCAGATTATTGATTGGTTTTGGGACGAATGAGTCGAAAGTTGTATTCGATGTGCGTTTAAACTCTTAAAAGTTGTAAGAGTTCCGGGAAAAAGTGATTGGATTTCTTTCGGGAGTACCTTCGAGTGTATTATTTAAAAATGACAGTTAAATGTCAAAAATATAAAAACAACATCATTAAATGTAAAAAAAAAAAAATTATGTTGCCTCAAAAAGATTTTTTTGTTTGCGATAAAAATTGAATTTGGTTGCTCTTTGTTTCCAAAATGAAGACAAGCGATTGGAACGTAATATTTAATGGCGTGGCGTAAGTAACAGTTTCTTAAAGATGGAATAAATATTTGCATATTTCAACGTGTTTTTTCAGCTTTGTTAGAAATTTTCTGACCCTAATTTTACGAAAAATGGAGCACATATGGGGCTTATGTAAAAGATTTTATGTTTAATGTTTATGATTTTTTTTAGATAGAACTTTGCTTTAATGAACTTCCATGTTTCATTATTACACAAACTTTTGTTATGAAATGCAGTTCTAACATTGGAAATAACGAAGATTTCACAAAATGAGATCAATACTAAATGTGAAATCTACATTGCACTTTTTCGACAGGTCATTTTGTATTTTTCTCAGAACCTACAACTTAAAATAGTTTTTTTTAAGGGCTATGTCAGACAAATGTAGAAATTTTAAATTTGAATTTTTGCAGTTCATTAGATAGGATATTGTGTCTAAACATTTAGAATGCCGAATATTCAACTAAAATTAACTTTAAATAAAATTACCCAATGAAATGATTGCCATTCCAAGATCTCAACAAAGGAACAGTCGATTTATATTGATTTCATTTGTTTAATTTTCTTCAATCGATTTCAAATGAAATTTTTCTTCATTTCCACCAATTGAAATGACATCATCCGAAACAAAGGTGTTTGAATCATTGGAGGAATACGTATACCCATATTTTCTTCTAAACTCATTGTAATTAATGAAAAAAATATCAAAATTTCTTTTATACGTAATGGGGTTTACTGATCCACACATACTCACACACAAGCATACTCACATGTGAATGTACATATAAATATTTTTATAATTTGAATTTCTGCTGTCTGTTTGCAATGTCTTTGTGCCAAATATTATTTTATAGATATGCCACAAAATTTTAAATTGCATTTTTTCAATCTGGCTCTCGCTGAGACTTCTTTGTGGCTAATTAATAAATAAATAAATGAATTTACTACAAACATTTTGTTTTCTCTTCGCTCTCTTCGTTGCAGATGCTGTGCGTGGTACTGATATCGGTCGGTGTCATTACTCTCGGCGGTGCCGGCTCTCCATTGGGTGCCTACACCGCCAGTCTCTTGGGTTGTCTAGTTTTCTCTCTCTGTACAGTGGGATCTTTTGCAGCTCTGAGAGAATCGCATTTGCTGTCTATGGTGGTAAGTATTTTGGTGATGCTTCAAATGTATATATATTTTGAAATTTAAAAATTAAATAATTTTATATTACAATTACTGGGTATTCGACAGAGTTCAATGATTCTTTGTAAATGATTTAGATTTCATGATGGCTTTACAATATTTATTATTATACCCTCCACTTTAAAACAGAGGGTATATTAACTTTGTCATACCGTTTGTAACATACCTAAATATTCGTCGTAGACCCCATAAAGTATATATATTCATAATCAACATAAAATTCTAAGACGATTTTGGATGTCCCTCTGGATGAAATAACGATACAGCCCAGATAAATTAACGTAGAGATTCAAAATTTGGGCAAACAATTTGTATTGCGTCTAGGATGGTTGGTATTGTAAATGATACATCAGTCCAGGTTTTGATATAGGCGCATATAACGGTACCTCCTGATATTCGGTATTTTGTCCCATTTTTCCACATATTTGTCTAAAAGTTGGTATTCGTTGGTTATAATGGGTTCTAGCTCCGGTGGCGGAGCATAGCATATAGATTCACGTTTTGGTATAGCCCCCATATAAGGGTTTTGATGATTTTTGCCACATTTTTCCACGGATTTGCCTAAAAATTTTGTATTTGTAGTTCATAGTGGGTTTTAGCAGTGGCAAAACATTGAATTTTTAGATCCACGACATTCCTATAACGCACATATAACGATACCCACCGATACTCAGTATTTTGATAATCCTAGTCACATTTACCCACGAAATTTGGTTTTTTGATAAGTTGAACTGCATTATGTAAAAGGTCTTACTGGTATTTGTAGTTTAAAGTGGAAACCGTTTGAATTCAGATACTTTTATACAAAAATGTTTCTTTACCCAATAGGGAGGGTATTCCATATATCCAAGGAATCTTACTTCAAAAAACTTCATAACAAATGTGGAAAAGTAGAGGAACTTGCCCCTTCTATTTAGGTAACATTGCCATGTAAACTTCAAACCGCTGATACCCAAGTCTTCTATTCTTTGATCTACTTTCATAATCAGCTGGATTTTCCTTGTAATTATTTTTTGAAAGAAATACTTATATTGTGTACCCACTAAGAAATGTCGTTATGAGAAAGATCATTGTTAAGAGTATTGGTATAGGGTGATACCATGATCGGTGTTTTAGCCTTTTCTAACTAGCTTTTTCAATATTTGTAAAAAATATATGGTACATAATTTTATTTTTCAATTTTTTTATATTTCAGTTTGCGGGACTTGGCGTCTTTACTATTGTCTGTGAGACCATTTTCATGATTGCCTTTGCTGTGATGAAAGAAGATTTCATGGAAATGACAAAACAACGTGTCGAAGACACCTGGCAACAGGAGTTGGTTAAACCGGGTGCTATGCTAGATGTACAAATACAAGTAAGCAGAATAATATAAGAATAACACAGATAAGAATAAAAATGAGATAGATATGCACTTCAAACGAAATGTAGCACCGAAATGGGTGACAAAATTCTCTCCAAGGACTTATTCAAAATTGTAATTTCCTATTTCCAACTTATGCCCACTTTTTATTTCATTTACAGTACGAATGCTGTGGCTTAAATGGTCAACAGGACTACCTAGAAAAGGGTGATAAACTGCCTTCCAGTTGCTGTTATTTGGGCGACTGTTCCGATAGTGATAATATATTTCCTAAAGGCTGTGAAGTTATGTCAATCAAATTCATTGACTCCCAGAGTGACAATTTAATTTTATCCTTAGTTGGCTTGGTGGCCTTTGAGGTAGGAGACTTTCGATCACTTTTAATAAATGTTAATGACATTCAATTTGTATTTTTCAGGCACTTGGCATAATATCGGCATACTATTTGGCGAAGGCTGTCCAGGCTCGGGGCGTTAAATCGGAACAAGCTGTTTTGGAATAAACTTTGTTATAGCGATTACGAATCTTGTTGAAACTTAAAATTGTTATCATAATTTTTACACTTAGAAGAGAAAATTGTCTCATTGTAAGAGACCCGTAGTTTCCAAGGTTTATTGATTCAATTCTTAATTACGTTTCAAAGTTTATAAATACAATTTTTTAATACTACTATTAAAAATAGATCATTTTATTTATCAGTGTTCATGACAGTGGCTCGAATGGCCATTGTACATTACTGAAGAGATGAATGGTGAGAAATTTGACTTGTGTTGCGATATTTTATTTTAAATTCGAGAGAATGCAGTTGATCCATACATAAGGCGATTAAGGATAGGATAAAATTCATTTGAAATTATTCAAAATCTAATTATTTACATTAATAGGCTATTTATACCCTACACCACAAGGTGGTCAGGGTATCATGTCTTTGTGCATTTGTTTGTAACAGGCAAAAGGAAACGAGATAGACCCATAGCTCCTTTTGATGATCTGCATAGAATCACATTCTGAGTCGATTTATGCATGTCCGCCCGTCCGTCTGTCCATGTATTTTTGTGAACAAAGTACAGTTCGCATTTATTGCCCTATCCAGATGAAATTTTGCACAAATCATTTGTTTGGCCCAAGGACGAACCCTTTAAAATTGGAGATAATCGGTTAAAATGTAGTTTTAGCTCCCATATATATCTTCGTCCGATTTGCCTTTTATTGTGCACCAAACGTGTAATATCAGTCCGAATAGTATGGAATTTTGCACGTACGACCTGAAAATGAGTATGCCAAATTTGATCGAAATCGGTTCAGATATAGCTATAGCTCCCATATATATTGTTCATCCGATTTGTTATTTTTGTCCTACGCAGCCGTAATATGGACTCTGTAACAACAATATTTGGGGAAATATATCAAATACAGCTCAGAAATACATTTGCTAAATTTTATCGAGATCGGTTTATATTTGGATATGGCTCGCATATATAACTTCGTCCGATTTACCTTTTATTGTGCACCAAACGTCTAATATTTGCCCAAATTGGATAAAATTTGGAACTTATGACCGAATTGAGTCTAGAAGCTAATATGTCAAATTTGGTGAAGATCGGTTCAGATATAGCTATAGCTCCCATATCCCCACAGTCCTAATATGCACTCCGTAACAACGATATTCAGGGAAATATATCAAATACAGCTCAGAAATATTTTTGCCAAATTTTATCGAGATCGGTTCCGATTTGGATATAGCTCCCATATATATTTTTATCCGATTTCAAATTAATTGTGCACCAAATGGGCAATACAAGTCCCAATTTAAAAGATACAAATGCTTCGGCATATTTGGTCCTTTGAACTTTAAATTATAATTATAATCATGGCATGTATGATTGAATTCTCCCATTAAAACGTTTAATTGTTATGCGGAGCTCTACTAAATTAGCAAAGTGGTGTAGGGTATCATAAAGTCGGCCCCGCCCGACTTTAACACTTTCTTTACTGGTTTTATCTTGAGATAAGAAAAAACCCAGAAAATGCATACATTAATTGAATTATAGTTTCATCAAAATATAGTAACTTTTTACACCCTCCACCATACACACAGGCAGGTCAAGTTCATAGATGAGCTATATCGGTCCACGATATCGTATAGACCCCATATTTTTCAATGACCCACAAGAGGAGTTCCTTCTGAGTACTTTACACCATGAAAGAGTATTGTCTATATAGGTCCACGATATCGTATATCCCCATATAACGGTGCCTCCTCATATTCGGTATTTTGATGACTTTAGCTACATTTTTCATAGGAATTGTCTAAAAATCCATACTATAAGCTCTTTCTAAGCACTTTACTCCCTGGAAGAGAAATGTCTATATGGATCTACGATATCGTATATCCCACATACAACGGTACCCCCCGATATTCGATTTTAGGAGGATTATTCACCGGAGTTGTTTCAAATTTCGCATTTGGTGTTCGTAATGGTAATATAATCTATGACAGAAAATTGTCTATGCAGGTCCAGGTCTTCGTATAGGCCCCATACATCAGTACCTCCCTATATTCGGAATTTTGAAGATTTTAGGTACAATATTCTCCGAAATTGTTTTAAATTTCGTATTTGAAGTTACTAAAAGGTATTACAGCCTGTGATAGAAAATTGCCTATACAGGTCCAGGTCTTCGTATAGCCCCGATGTAACGGTACCTCTCTATATACGGTATTTTTATGATTTTATCTACATTATTAACCGGATTTTTTTTAAGATTTGTATTTTATTATTGTAATGGCTTATGACAGAATTCACCTACGCAGGTTCACGTTTTCGTATGGATCCCAATATAACGGCGACTTCCTATATTCGGCATTTTTAAGATTTCAACAGATTTTTTAACGGATTTTATTTTTTTTTTTTTTTGAAAATGCCCAAATTCGTTTCAAATGGTGGAGGGTATTAAAAGTTTGGCCCGTCCGAACATAATGCTTATTACTTGTTAAACTTAAAATTTAATTTTGAAATCGGAAAAAAACGGAGTACGAATTGATTATAGCATTCATGTGGTTGTAAAGTTTATATCGTAAACAATCCAAAATAGAGGGGGCTAGGTCCTACCTCTTTAAAATTGTTAATATTTTAGGATTAAGATCCCTCGGAATCCGTTATTTTCCATTGATTGATCTTCAGTATCCTATGTAATGTTACAGCTATCAATACGAGGATTATTTGGTGGAAGTCGCATTTAGATGAGTTTCAAACGGGCGTTTTTATTCCTTTTTTTCCCAAAAATATGGTCAAGAACTCGCTTTCAGAGGGATCGTGGGAAGTGAAAACTTTGTACAAAATGAACATTGTACTAAAAGCCAGGAATTCATAAATGTTAAAAAGACATTCTAGGGTTCAAGCTGTACTTCACGTAAGTTTATGAAAAATTCAGCTTCAAAGCATTTTTAGAAGAATGACTCATCAAATTTTATGTCGGCAAAGAAATCTCTTCTTACATTATATTGCCAAAAAGCGAAAATAATTCCTCCTTTTTTATGAAGTTTTCGAGTTGATGCATGAAAGTAATATAAAATTCCGTTATACGGAGAAAGTATCAAGAGAAGGAACATTCTACACTAAATTTTACTAAAAATCTTCGAATGTAGGTTTAATGGTTTTTAAAGAATTATATTCGAAATTTTCGAAGTTTGGACTAAATATGATACTCCCTTCGAGAGGTATCGTGCACACCAGCCAGCCAAAGAGACAACGGAGTTCTCTTTTTTGGTGTCGTCACAATAAAACATCGAAATCTCGAGGTTTTTTAATAAAGCCTTTCGAGATTGCAGTGAACAAAAAACTTCTAAAAAGTATTGAGTTTGAAGATTTACTTACCTTACTAAATTCTCTTGAATATGAAATATAAAACTTCATTATGTTTCAAACCCCACTGGAGCTCCGATACAACGGTGTTCCTCTACATTTCTAGTTTCCGTGAATAGTCTTTTCAATCTTGGCTTTAACATGCCGCTTTTTCGGTATTTTGATGATTTACAGGGGTTCACATTCTATTTAAAATTTTCCAATATATGAATCTACAAATCTAGTTCCTGCTGATACATATAGCGCTACTTACTGATCTCATGTATTTTGAATTTAAAACCAGTTTTGCGATAGATGGAGAAAGGAAAAAATCGCCGTAGCCAAACTAACAGTTTTTCTAATGTGATTTGCTTGGAATTTCGGTAATGGAATGAAAAAAAAAATAATTCACATTCTTTTCAAAACACACAATGTCAAAATGTAATTTATTTATATTTTGAATTTATTTCATTCCCAGGCCTACCGACGTACGTCTTCAATGTTTTTAACCACAAGAGTGTATTACACATGGTACAATGAATTCAAGGTAGGGCAGAACTACCATATGATTTCAATTTTTTTATTTTTCTGGCTTAATATGTCAACTTAATTTTCTTATGTGTGTGTCTTCTTTTCAATAATAAAAAAATTGTTCACAAAATATTCAAATTCGGGTGTTTTTAAAATGCTTATTGCAACGTATGCATCGACAAAGTCTACAGTTTTTGTCGCGAAATAAACCATAAGAGATATATAGAACATGATTTTGAAAAGAAATGTTGACCTTTTATTCAGTTTTCGCGGTTTTAAAATATTTATTCAAAATCAATGCAACAAGTTGTTTGCTTTTTTATTGTTTTGATAGCAATTCTGACATTACAAGCCAAACAGGTAGACCTCTATACTTGCAATTTTTTCAAAGTTGACCTACCTTCTCTTCATTGTACCATGGTATTACAGTTTTTTGTGATACCTTTTCCAGCAAAAATTGTATAATATTGGTTCACCGATGTAGCCAGAAATACCTTATACACTAATTTACCCAACCCAACTGAAACAAGTTAAAAAGCAGTAAGTTCGGCCGGGCCGAACTTTTAATACCCTCCACCATTTACAACGAATTTGGAAATTTTCAAAAAATAAAATCCTTAAAAAATTCTGTTAAAATTTTAAAAATACCGAATATAGCCGTTATGTTGGGGTCTATACGACGTGGACATACATATGCATTGTTTGTCATAAGCCATTACCATATTCAAATTCGAAACTGGACCCGCACCGACAATTTTCTGTCACAGACTGTAGTTCCCATAACGAACTTCAAATATCAAATTTTAAACAATAAAATACCAAATTTGAAACAATTCCAGTGAATAATGTCGCTAAAATCATCAAAATACCGAATATAGGGAGGTACCGTTATATTGGGGCTATACGAAGACGTGGACCTGCAAAGACAATTTTCTGTCTTAGGGTGTAGTATCCATTTGGAACTTCAAATACCAGATTTGAAACAATTCCGGTGAATAACGTCGCTAAAATCATCAAAATACCGAATATAGGGAGGTACCGTTATATTGGGGCTATACGAAGACGTGGACCTGCAAAGACAATTTTCTGTCTTAGGGTGTAGTATCCATTTGGAACTTAAAATACCAAATTTGAAACAATTCCGGTGAATAACGTCGCTAAAATCATCAAAATATCGAAAATCCGGAGGTACCGTTATATGGGAGCTATATGAAAACGTGGACCTACATGGCCCATTTACGAACTTAACCTGCCTACTGGAAAAATAAACATGTGTGCAAAATTTTAGCCATCTATCTCAATTTATTCGAAAGATAGCGTGATTACAACAGACAGACAGACAGACGGACAGACAGACAGACAGACAGACAGACAGACGGACATCGCTAAATCGACTTAGAATTTTACGCTGATCAAGAATATATATACTTTGTTGGGTCTGACATGAGTATTTCGAGGAGTTACAAACGGAATGACAAAGTTAATATACCCTCCATAGTATGGTGGAGGGTATAAAAATAAGATTTTTGAAGCAAACTGCTCAGAAAATATCTAAAAGGTTATCCGATTACATCGGTGTACTGGTTTCCTTAAAGATAACATTCGCCAACAATTCTTTGTATAAAAATACCAAATATAGCCGTTATATTAGGACCTGTACGACATGCACATACATAGGCATTGTTTGTCACAAGCCATATTCAATTTCGAAACTTGAAATAAACGGTGAATAATGTAGTCAAAATTATCAAAATACCGAATATAGGGAGGTACCGTTATATATGGGCTATACTTGCACAGACAATTTTCTGTCTCAGGCTGTAGTATCCATTTCGAAACTCAAATGCTATATATGAGGCTATAAGAAAACGTGGACCTACATGGCCCATTTACGAACTTAATCTGCCTACTGGCAAAATAAACATGTGTGCAAAATTTTAACCTTCTATCTCAATTCGTCGAAGGACAGCGTGATTGCAACAGACAGACAGACACACAGACTGACAGACGGACATGGCTAAATCGTCTTAGAATTTTAAGCTGATCAAGAATATATATACTTTGTTGGGTCTAAGATCATTATTTCGATGAGTTACAAACGAAATGACAAAATGAAAATACCCTCCATAGTATGGTGGAGGGTATAAAAACGTAATCTTCCAAAATGGATTTGGACAAAAAAGGGGCTTCCAAGATATTGCAGTGTTGTAGGGTATCACATGGTCGGCCCCTCACGGCTATAGTTTTGCTTAATTGTTTCGGCTTATTTTTAATTTTTGCATGATTAATATCTGTTTATGACGCACCAATTGTTTTGTTTTGACAAACCAGATTATTGCTCGCAAGTATTTGCAGGAATTCCGACTGATTACTATTCATAATTTTCTTGGAAAAGAAAGAAATTGCTGGACAATTCCTGCAGGAAAAGTAACCAGATACACCTACTTCTGTGTGTGAAGATGATGAAAAGAGTTGGCAGATGTATCCCGATTTTAAGCTACATTTAACAATATTAGTTCCGATTTTAAGCCTCTCTAAAGCCGTAAAGATCATACTAAATATTCACCTCTGCTAAATATATAGAATGATGATAATTATTACATAGTTGGAACAGATTTGTTTATAATTTAACATATTAACTAATAGTCAGTAGAAGGCAATATTTCTGGGAAGATAAATATTTTCAGATATTGGGACACATTACAGATGTTGTTAGGTAAGGTTGAAAAGAGGTGCGAAACAATTCGCCGCATGCCCTGTTGGGCATACACTTAAGCCAGTATAGGCCTGTTGTACTCTAGTCTAAGGGTTTTTTCGAAGAAGACGGAGAGTTCACAGTCTGTTATATTTTTGAAATTCGCTTGCCTTTTTGAAATTTCTTATCTGTTTTATATCATTTACCATGACCTGATTAAGGTCTGGTATGGAGTCGTTCCCTAAGAATTGGGATCTGATATTTCGTCATCTACCCCGCATGCCCTGTATATGCTGTTATGCACAGCCTATCTTGTACAGATGAGCTTGTAGGCCCAGGTGCCCGTAAGGATGCCTGTTACCTCAATGATTTCCTTCTTACCTTGTAATAAAAGGTTCTTCGTTTTTATATCATTGGGATCGCTCCATAGAATTTTGGTGGTTTTCCCTACGTCCTCATTCTTCAATAGGGATATGTGGGCGTTTTTTGCCCATGTCTTTAACACTAGACGTGACGCATTTAGCGGCACTGGATTGTCTACGTTTACTGTTGCTAATTCCCTGCCCGTTTTAGAAGACGACAGATCTTGTTAATAAACTTCTGAACATATTTCTCCCAAGAATTTTTTTATTTTGAATGTTTGATTGAGTTAAAGGCAAATCTAGTGTTAAACAATATTCCACGTCTCTCACTTCAAGCTTTTACGAAACGAGCTTTTTTTAAGCCAGAATCATAATTTTATTTATATTTCTCGATTTCGCTTTGAAATTCTGTTAACAAGCATTCTCTGCTGTTAACTTAACAGCTATCATTCATTATTGCTGATCGTGAACTGTTCGCTGCCGCAGAAGGTAAGGGGAAGTCCAAAACAAAAAAACAAACGATATTCGGACAACTTCAGAATATACAAAGCGATCGTCGAAGGTGGACGTGTCTGCTCCCACTATACCGCAACTTTTTGGCATTTTTAAATTCGTTTGTTTGGACCGAATCGAATATTTGAAAACAACGCGTTTGATTTTCAACGGTGACAGCATAAAATTGAGAAAAAATACATATTCGCGCGAAAACATATAAAAACAAATTGGTATATACACATAAACCTACATACAGACATAATACATACATGTACATATTTTGGATATTTTAAAAACAAATGCTATAAAAACAAGTTGTTGTTTTTTCTCGGCATTTGTCTATGAGAAAACAAGAGAACAAAAAAAAAACAAATCACGTCAAAAAGTCAATAAGATTTGTGTCTCAAAAAAATCCCAAATAACTAATAGAAGTCCAGTGTTGTATCAATCAAAGTGTCAACAATTTTAAATTAAATTTCACTTTTGTCTTTATTTTTCGAATCTAGTCAAAATGGGTTGTACCTCGGACTGCATGAAATGCATTTTGAATATCTTCAATGTTCTCTATGGCGTAAGTATTACCAATTACTAATATTTCTCTGTAATTATAATTTCATTATTTGGATAAAGAAGAGTGTCATTGTTGTTAAAATATCCCCGACGTTAACCACTACCAATGGTGATGCCATGATGATCATGATGATGATATCATCTTCAGGCCATATTGAGAATATTTTCGTTTAAATAGAAATACAAATAAATATTGTGTCTATAGGTAAGCCTGAGAGTGTTGCTTATGTCTTAAGTGTTAATCATCAGAGATCAGGGAACAAAACAATTTGGATATTGTCTTCGGCTATGGATATTTAACAAATTTGCATAAACATACATATGTTTGTTTTATTCATATGGCCATATCCAAATGATCACATAAATAAGTATCTAAATTATTAGTTTACAGAAAATATTCAGAATGTAAACAAAATAGTGGGCATGGCTGAATTGGAATAAGATCTAAATATAGATCCTAACAAGCGTTATTGGAATGTGGCAGCCAAATCAACGTGGAAACATATTAAAATTATTTATGCGCTTTAAAGACGCTTAGCACTCAATGTTCCATATTAAAATTCTAGAAGAATTCTTGAAATAATTTGGATAAGTCATACTGCTTTCCAGCACTTAAAATGTTCAATATTGAAAATTTTCAAAAAAATATTTAGAAAAAAGGTTATTTTTGTGGCTTCTGCTCTCGATAACATTTCTAAAAGAGAGGAAAAAATTAGAAAATTATTTTGGTGATTAAAAAAGTGGGAGGAGTTGGAACTGGTGATAGATAGATTTATGTTTGACTAAAAAAGCCTTGCGAAACTACTCATTGTAATTCAGACAAAAAAATAATTATATTTTAATAAAGTCAAATAATATCGAAGACATGCTTTTAAGCTTTTAGTAGTCCAATTTGAAATGAGTATTATAGCTGGGGGAATGGTGGTACATTGGCATAACAGGTGCCCATTAATTTCAATGTTGTCTTGGCAGAGACTACAGTGGATGATAGAATTTTCCATTTGATCGTTCCCGATCGGAAATAAACCGGTAAGGCAAAGTCAGAAGACGGGCGGGCCGACTATATGATATTCTACACCACTATGCGTATTTAATAGAGCTCACGTAACAAAAAAAGTTCATTTTGGGAATTAATGTGAATTATATAACTTCGATAAGAATTATATTAAAAATGTTTATTAGATCATGTTTATTAGATGTTATGTTATTAGATCGGTTGAATATGAAAAATTCTATTCAATTTGGGTTGATATTACATATATGGTAATCGGATGAAGATGTATATCAAATCTATATGAGAATCTGAACCGATCTCTATAAAATTTGGCGAGGATATTTTCGAGCTATATCTGATGTCCGGTATTAAATATTCTTGCTGTGAAGTGCATATTACGCATTTGACAACCATATATGTGGAGCTATAGCTATATCCGAACCGATTTTTACCAAAATTTCAAGTACTTGCTTCTAGGCTGAATATTGTAGGAAGTGCCAAAATTCAGTCCATTTGAGCTGATTTTAGCCATTGGATGCAAAATAAACCTGATATGTGTTGAAGATATATGTTGGAGCTAAATCAAAATATGAACTGATCTTGAGATTATTTTATACATGAAACATATGTATGGGAGCTATAGCTATATTAAATTTGAAGTACTTGTTGCTAGTACTTGTACTTGCTTCTAGACTGAATTTCGTCGGAAGTGCCAAAATTCGGACCATTTGAGCTGTTATTAACCATTTGGTTCACAAAAAACTTGAAATCGGTTGAAGGTATATATGGGAGCTACATCCACAAATTTCAATGGGGTTTTTCCAAACAAATATTGTTTGGAAAATTTCATCTCAATCGGATAATAAATGAGACCTGCATTTTGTTCGGGTTCAGATCCTCAAAAGTAACTATGCGTTTATATTGCTTCCTTCTCCATGTTACGAACAGACACATAAAAATGTAATACGCTTACCACTATGTGATGTAGCCGCAATCAGCCGCATGAAAACAAAGAATTCCACTTGAAAAATACTAGAGTTTCTGGCTCTGGATTATTCATATTTTGTCCATAAATTCATAAATTCCGGTTATAGGTACCTTCCTTTATACCGTTACCCTTATGCCAACATAGGGTTTATATCATTTAATACGGCCAAAATGTACTTCAGCTATTTGGGCGAAATCCATTTCTGGACGTTTGTAGTCGATCTAGTCATGTCCGTCTCACATGTCCGATCACACTAATTCTCGACGGAAGTATCCGATTTGGTTCAAATAAGGTGCATCGTAATATTATTAACAAACAAACATTGAGATCGATTATGGGCGTAATGGACTCAGTCCTCTCTCATTAAAATTTGGTAAAAAATAATTCACCTTATAAAATGGAAAGATGGAATCCGATTTCTTTTACATGCACATCCTTATATTTAAAACAGCCCTCGGGTAGATGAGAAATGGATGAAATCGGTTCACTCATTCTGATGTCCCCCCCACTGAGGTGGAAACATTGCAAATCTCATATTCACCCACGAAGGGCATAATTGTTGAATATCGTCCTCATATGTCTACTGTTTGAGGTATATCTCAAATTAAACGAATCGGACGCCCTATATATTAGTCCACTGCTTCATGTGAAATCAGTGCACAAACTAGTGCGTAGCTGCTAGTTTGTTTTATGTGGCGCCCAAGCATTTTGTACCACTTTCAGTTGCATATATTAGGTGAGGGTGCAATTTTAGTCACCTTCATTCATTCAATTCATTTCTTCCTATTCTATACCTATTATATAATACAAATTCCATCCAAAGTTTGACAGACCAACCCTATAGACCAAATTTATTACATATTCTTCCGACTCAATGCAGGCTGCAATGAATAAGTAAACGAAATTTAATAAATTTTTGATATAAACGATAAAGGCGTGACGTCGTACCCTGATGTATTGCCATCATTTGCGATTACCTTTAGTTTCAATGGAACAAACTTGAAACGTACGCGTATTTGTTCTAGTCGATTACATTCAATCCACATGTTTTGAATTTCAATTCGTGTGTGTGATTTTTTGTATTATATAACTTAATAATGAGTTGAAATTATAAGCATTACAATGCTTGTCACGTTTGTTATTTAAATAATATTCGGTGATTTTGATGTACAATATATAATTATTATTTTTGTATGTATATCATATGTAAATACAAATCAATCTCATGTGATATTGTTTTGAATATTTCATTAAAAATAGTTTTTTTTTTTATTAGTTGGGGAGTCCCCAGACATGCTAAGTGTCTCTGCAACTATATCGTATTACATGCATATTATAATACATATTTTTTTATATATTTAACACCTGTTCACATTATCATCAAAATTTGCTAAATAATCATGAGAGGATAGCAAATTTATTTTTTGTGATTGCTAGCTCGACGGATCATATCTCTCATTTAAACAAATACACTCCATAAAATCTGAATGAAGAATGTCTTCACACAAAATTGATGGTACATTTAAACTACTAAAGTTTATTTCGACGTCAGCCGAATTATACTCTTCTTCCCTAGAGTAATCATAGATTCACATATATATTTAGGACGATTACAAAATCAGGCAATATTTATATTTTGGTTCGTTTAAATCCCTAAATAGATAGATGATGAATAATAATTGTGACCCACAGTTTAATATTAATCTGATAAGAATAGAGTTATGTCTGAGGGACTGACTGCCGGTTTCTTCAACGCTCAGTCGCAACGACTGAAGCAGCAATCTTGAAATTTTGCATATGTGTAGGGGTGAGATAGGGATGGGTTTTTGTAAGTTTACTGAATGTTTTTTTTTTTGGAAATTCCAACTATACAGGGTGAAATGAAAAAAAACTGAACCAACTTCAGACTGCTGTCATTTCTAAGCCATTCGTCCGACAGCTGTTAAAATTATTCCAGTCACAGCTCATTATATTGTTCATAAGCGTAAAAAGTATGTTGGTGAGAATTTTCCAGAAAAAAAGTAATTCGTAATATTATGATTTCTTTATATTTGGTTGGAAAACCACAAGTGGCTATCGTTAGAACACTCCAGCATTTAAATGTGAATAAATCTTTTGTGCCTCGTACCATCACTCGTTACCGTGATACTGGTAGCGTAGCCCGACGTCAAGGATGTGGACGGAAGAAAACAGCAACATCAGCAGAAATGGTTCGAAAAGTAAAGAAGCGACTTGATCGAAAACCGCGTCGCAGAGGCCGAAAAAAATGGCTCGTGAGCTGAACATATCGCAATATTCCATTCGGCAAATATTGAAAAATAAGCTCGGTGTAAAGCCATAGCAATTCCAAAAAGTGCAAGAACTTACACCGCAACAGAAAGAAAATAGACTCAAAAGAGCTTAAAAGTTGCTTCGCTTGGCCGAAAGTGGTTAACTGCCGAGTTTGTTTTTTTTCCGATGAGAAAACATTCGTTGTCCTGCAGTTTGTTAACAAACAAAATGATCGCGTTTAGTTGCCAAAGAGGTCAGCTGAAAATGTGCACCTTCGGTTGGCCACTCAACACCAGAACTCAAGCGCCGGCCCAGGTGATGGTCGCTCTCCGCTCCTATTAATCGACCGTGGCATCAGAATAAATGACGAATACTATTCGGAAATATTCTGGAGGATGTATTAAAGCCTTGAGGACGCAAACATTTTGGCCGCAGACGTTGGTCATTCCAATAGGACTAAGCACCATCGCACTCAGCACGCGCTACTCAAGAATGGCTACAAAATGAGGTTCCTCGCTTTATCTCCAGCTCATAATTGCCACCAAAATCTCCGTATACCAATCCGTTGGATTATGGTATCTGGATTATTTTGAAAAGCGAGGTTGGAACTAAAAAATATCAAAGTGTCAATCACTTCAAGCAAGCGCTTCGCCGGGAATGGGCCAAAATACCACAAAGCAATATTCGGGCAGCGTGTGACGGTTTCATTAGCCGTTTGAAGGCCATAATTCGTGTCAATGGTGACCAA